TGACGTGTGGATGAATAATACTTCCATGGCTTTCTTATGGGAAGGCTTCAGCCAAGGTACACCCTTCTGCCCTGCAGGAGCTAAACTGAAGGGATGAGCATACACTGCAGTCAGCCACAAAGGAGAGCCGCGGGTCTTGGAATGGGTAGCAACTTAATCACGGCAACTCGGGATATATTTGAGCACTTGAGGTGTGTGCCAGATTCACCTAAATTTGAGCTCAGGAGGTGAGGGGTCGCAGGGGAAGACCGATATCTACGTGAAGACGTGTTTGCCTGTGCATTACCTGGAAGTCGGGTTGTCTTTTTGTCAGAGCTTGAGATTCAGAGTCATGAGCCCTGACTTGGTTCCTTACAGAACTTTCAAAAGGTGGTGCATTTGGGAGTTTTGTGTATAATTATCAGACTTTTTAGGACACCAGAGAGTGGTGGAAGGCCGTGATAGACAAGGGGTCAGAATGTGGATTCAGTTCACCGTGGGTGAACAGGAATTCCAGCCTTCTTCAGGGTGTGTGCACTCTGCAGTTGCTACGAAACGATATCAACTATTCTCCCTCAGATTTTAACCATTTCTGTGCTCTGCATTTCACTTCTAAAAACAGGCTACCTCCAGAGCCACCTCTGCTGAACAGCGATGCTGATAATTAACATGAGTGGTAAATACTCTGAGCTTTGTAATGTGCAGAATTAGGTGAACGGAATATACTAAGCATTGGTAATGTTATTAAAAGCTCAGTTTTTAAAGTTGGAGCTAGATTGGGAAGCTCAGGAGAAAAGGTAGCTTTTGGCCAAAAGAAAAGGTAGCTTATCGTGAAGTAAGGAGAAATAACTGTGTCAAGGCCCTAGGGACCCATTCACCAATGTGACAGTCTTGCAACGAGGAAGGTGGATCTCCAGTGTGGGACTATTTCTCTTCTCTGGGCCATCCTCTATGTTCCAAAGCTCCTGTGGTAAGGATGACTTAAATCTGTATTTCACGGAATCTCTGATCTAGGAATGTAGTGTGTGTGTGTATATTTGGGACGGGGGAGGCATCCATACACCTTCCTGCCTCCCCTGCCCCCTTTCCAGCCACACACACACCACAAATGGGGAGGCAAGTCTGTTCTCTTTTCATATACACACTTAGTTCCCTTTCCAAGCCTTTGAGGTTTGGGAAGGGCTGTAGTTTTGAGTCCGACAAGAAGAGTTCATCTCTACTGTTTCACATTAGCATCCGCTGTCACAGCCCTCGTCTGCCTTGAGAGGCCGCTTCAAAAAAAAAAAAAAACAGGTCATGAAGAACCTAGGGGTAAGACGGGAATAAAGACACAGACCTACTAGAGAATGGACTTGAGGACATGGGGAGGGGGAAGGGTAAGCTGTGACAAAGTGAGAGAGTGGCATGGACACATATGCACTACCAAACGTAAAATAGATAACTAGTGGGAAGTAGCCACATAGCATAGGGAGATCAGCTCGGTGCTCTGTGACCACCTAGAAGGGTGGGATAGGGAGGGTGGGAGGGAGGGAGATGCAAGAGGGAAGAGATACGGGAACGTATGTATATGTATAACTGATTCACTTTGTTATAAAGCAGAAACTAACACACCATTGTAAAGCAATTATACTCCAATAAAGATGTTTAAAAAAAAAAAAAACCTGCCTCCCCTGCCTACTGTCTAGATTCCTCCCATTCTGTTTCTTCTTCCCTCTGGCAATCGCTCGGAGCACAGTGTTGAGCCCTTTTTATAGCACTGGCCACAACCTGCTCCTGGATCAGATTTGATGGTGTCTATTTCTCCCTTATTAGAGCTCCTGGAGATTGAACCTTGCCTTTTTTTTTTTTCTCAGTGTCCTTCTACAGTGCCTGGCAGCAGATTTGAGGCTGACCAGTTTGAGGTCCAGTCCAGTTTTATTACATGTTATGTTTAATTCCAAGGGATCGGATAGCCTCTTCTTCAGAGGTGTGAAATTATCATAATCTTGATATCATATAATTATGCTTATCTATCTGAGTCTGCCTGTCCCTAATAAACAGTGGCCAATTGTTCTTTATTATTCTTTATACCGGCACCTAGAGTTTCTATAAATGATTCTTGAATTAATAGATATGTAATAATGATATATATTTCTTAAACAGTATTTAATGTAGCTTATTTGTGATGGGAGAGTAAGAAAAGTCTACCAAGAAGAGGCTGAGAAAAAAAGAAAAAATGGAAGATCTTATCACCTTCAAATATTTATTAAACAGTATGAAAGCGTATAGAATCTTTTACCAGGGACACTGTTTCTTTCATACCTACTAATAAGGTTGTGGTTACATTTTTTTAATATGCATTATTACCCATGACCTAGATTTACTTCCTAAAACTTTCTGGGTTGATTGTTCATATTTGATTTGGAATAAGGACTTGAGATATACCACCACTATTATCAATTTATTAGATTGGGGCCTCTGTTATCATTGCTCAAGTGATAATTTATTAGACTTTCCAAAATGTTTTTCAAAGTACTAATGAATTGTATGGGCCTTTTTTAAAGACGCAAGTTAATACTTGTATTTTTAACTTTTAGTGACTTACACAGTTTGGATATTATCTAGCAAGAGTCACATGAGTATTGGTTTTTAATATTTGCTGCTCCAACTGTTCTCATATGGGAACTAGGAGTTTGTTCGCTCAGCAAATAGCTGACAGCCTTCCGTATGCCAGGCGTACCTGCTTCTATGATATCGCCTATATTGTGTGGGGGGATGGGGGCCGGGGGGAATTGATTCCCATTAGCCTGTCGGTGTCTCCAGGCAGGTGTACCGTAGCCTAGGTTTTTGTGTTGCCAAATGTAGCACAGTGCCTGACTGAGAGTTTGGAAAGAATTATTATGTAGATTAATAAATGATATGGGATGCAAGCCGTTATAAGGCAGCATGCTGCCAAGAAGATCTGACAGTACAGTTGGACTGAAAGCCAGGGGCATCAATTACAATGTTTCCCATCAACGTAACAAATTCATAGTAGGGAGCTTGCCCAGAGGGCAGAGGGGGGCCTGAGCATGGGGTGGAACTCAGGAGGGACCTTTAGGCTGATGTGCTCTTCAGGATGAGCTGTGCATGGGAGTTTCTCAGATACACATGGGGAGGGAATGACGCTCTGGGCCAGCATATGTCAGGCCACTCAGATGTGAAAGAGCTTTGTCTCTGGACTGTTCATTTCTTTTTCTATAATGTGAGATGTGAGGGGTTTAGTGGCAAGAGACAAGTATGCAAAAGGCAGGTCTGCTCATAAAGGTCCTGGAATGCTATGCAGGGGGTGTGTAGCCTTTATCTCTCTAGTGGTAGTATGCACGAGGCTGTTGCTGTCAGATCGTAAAACTGCCTGTCTTCACCACTAACCACTTCTCCTCCTGTGTCTTTTCACTCCCTCCCAGCTGTCCCAGCCAGAAATCTGGGTATTTTCCTTATCTGTTCTTCTGCCGTCATGTCCCACATCTGATCAGCCACCAGCCACCCTCACGTCTACTTCACAGTTTCTCTCTGAGCCACTCACCTCTGTCTGTCCTCAGCTCCTTGAGTCTACTTTACACTCTGTTACCGTAACGGTCTCCGCTGTGGTCCCCCAGTCCTCCGCCTGTTCCCCTCCAGCCCATCGTCACACTCCAGCCAGAGACAAACTCCTAAATACAAACCTGAGCCCACTCATTCCCGCTCAAGGTGATCTGGGGCTTCCCGTTGCCCTTGGGTGAAGTTCCTCTCCTTGACCTGACCTTCAGAACCCCCCACAGCTGCGTGTCCAGTGCACACCTCTGGCCATTCTGCACATGGTGCCTGCTGCTCCTGTCACCCTGAGCTCTGCCCTTCAGCTCTGCCAGGTGTTTCTCAGCTTCCCCAAACCATCTTAAGACTCAACTCACCCCCCCGCCCTGGAACAGCCTTCTCTGCCCTCTGCTACTCTCCCTGGCCCTGTCCTTTGGGTTGTTGCTTCTAGGGAGTGTTTCCTGACTTTTCAGATCTGGATTTAGAGCCCTCATTGTGTGGACTTTGCCCAGTGTTTGCCCAGTTGTGACTTGTGTGAAGCAGCATCTTAGTGACTTGCTTAATTTTCTCTTTTCTGTAAGAGACTGTGAATTATGTGATGGTTGAGACCACTGTTTACCGTTTTATTCCTAGCACCTGGCACAACGCCCGACAGTAGGTATTTATTGAATATTAGATCTGTGAATATCTCAAGTATCTATTCTCATGCCCAGCACATAGAAGAGTGTCAGTAAATGATGGAAGATTTTATTGTTTACTGTCATGTACAGTAGCTGCTATGCTATATATAGGCAATAATCTCACCTGTACAAATCGGTCACGATAAGGACTGAAACATGGCCATTAGAAGTGACAAGTTAGGAAGTCATGGCTGATCGTTGTTAATAGCCTCTCAGAAATGGTGAGAGCAGAAGCCAGTGGACAGTGGTTTGAAGAGTAACAGCAAGGAGAGAAGATGGAGGCCTAGCAAAGATGAATTTGTAAAAATGGTGTACTGAAAAGGGAAATCCTCAGAGAGGGCAGTAGTTCGAGAGGCAGCAGGGTCAACGGAAAATACTTTCATTTATTTATTTATTTTAATTTTTATTTTGTATCAGAGCATAGTTGATTAACAATGTTGTGTTAGTTTCAGGTGTACAGCAAAGTGATTCAGTTATACATATACATGTATCTATTCTTCTTCAAGTTCTTTTAAAGGAAAATACTTTTAGATGGTGAAAGAATACTGAGCCTGGTCATGGGCTGAGGATGAGGGTCCAACAGGAAGGCAGGTGCAGAAATAGGCGTGGAGTCAGATCAGGTCCCAGAGTAGAAGTGCTGGCCTACACCTGAGAGAAGAAAGCTCTCCAGTAATGATAGAGATGAGTCGCTGGCGGGGTTGCAGGAACACGTGCAGGAGTCTGGGGGGGAGCAAAGGCAGTGGTGAGCCTGACGCAAGCATGTTCAGTTCTATGGCCCAAACCTATTACCGTGTTTCGTTTTCCCTTTAGGTGCTTGGGGGACTCGTGTGGATCCTGGTCGCCTCCTCCAATGTTCCTCTACCTCTGCTGCAAGGATGGGTCATGTTCGTGTCTGTGACGGCTTTCATCTGTTCCCTCCTCTTCCTGGGCGTGTTCCTCTCTGGCGTGGTGACTCAGATTAATGCCAATTGGAACTTCCTGGTAAGGGATATTTAAGTCTCTTTCAGGAAAACGTGAGAAACTTATAAATATCTCATCCTGTCCTGAAATGCTGGATGCCCTGTTCTATCTGTTGCCTCTGGTGGGAGAGAAAAGGTCAGAGCACAGAGGCTGCTGTGCTGCTGTGTGGCTGGCCTTGCTGGACAGCAGGGTCCCAGCTTGCTCAGGTCCTGTGGTGACAGAGCTGAGCCATCTCTCTGTTATTCCTTTATGAGTTAGATGACCTTTCCGCAAAGACTGTTTTGTTTCATACAACGAATGAATCACGTTACAGTTATTGAACTATTGGAGAGATGGATGCTGTGCCATGTATCTTAAAATTTTCCATTGATTCCTGCTTCAGATATTAAATACATATATTCTTTTCAGAAAACAAGTAGCTCTATATGTTACTCTCCAAATACTTAGAAAAGGAAAGGGGATATTTTATATTTATTTTCAATGCCTGTCCTAGACTAGCAAGAATTGATACGTTTTAAGAAATGAATTTCCCATCGACACCATTTTAAAAATTATGACACCATTAAATTGGGTCAACTTACTTTCCCTTTTTCTCATATAATATAGGGAGCCTCTTTCATGTTTGTGGTTATTCATTCTCTGGGACTGTCTCAAAATGGGCCCCAGTGGAGCGTGAATTCCAATGCATGGTGGACAGTGCTTTAATGAAGTTCATGAAGAACCACCATTAGGTTTCCTTCACGCTTTGGTGGTTAGGAACTTAAATCAGACCTTTAGTCGGGCTTTATATATGTTCCTTTCCAGTGTGGTAGTATTTTATTCAGCAGCAAGGAAAATATTTGTTCTTGTCTTATTTATAGACCGTAAAGAGAACCATCATCCCAGATGTTATCAGCAGTGAAGTCTAAGCAAATGTGGCTGTCCATTCAGTCAGCCCGGGGCAGATGGCACGGGTTAGTGTAAAGCTAAGGAGGAAGAGTGTAGTGTGGTGGTTATAGTAATGCACAGGCTTTGAGATTAGTCTGGTTTGCTTACTAACCATGTAGCCTTGGGCAAAATATTGAACCTCATTTCTTCCTCTGTAAAAGCACTAATAATAATACCGACCTCACCAGATGCTGTCAAGGAATAATGGAACTCATGTAGTATACAGTGCTCAGCTTTGTGTCTGATTTATAGTAAGTGATCAGTAATCACCGTAAGTCCTTAAACACGCTGAGGCGTGCACTTTGAAACTTTGAAAGTCCTATTTCTTAGGTTGCTGATACAACGTATTTCTGCATTTTTGCCTTGATTTCTCATTAACGATGAGAAAATATTGCTAATAATTACTCAAGTGATGAAGATCAAAAATCCCTATTTAAGTTACAAATAGATGCTTAATCTCCTTTTTCTAAATGCCTGGCTTTCCTAAAATAATTCATGAATGAATCAGTCAATCCCTAATGTTGGTGAGTGCCACCAGGCTCTTTTAATATCAGGCTTGAAGATGGTATTTGGCCAGTATGTACCAGTAGTATGGCCCTACTGGTACTTTGCTACTGGTTAATACATAGCCATTTCCCCAATCTACTGCCTCTTCCTAAGTGCTGTGCTCCCTTTCACCCTGGCCCTTTCCTGGACCTCCTAATAGCCCAGCAACTAAAGAGTTAATATCTGGAAAAGTAGTGAGTCTCCAGGATCCTGCAGTGCTCAGCGTTCTGTCTAACTGGTTGATGCACACGCCTTACCAATGTTTACATATTTTTCCAATATCACTCCTGGTTTTATTAGACATAACGTCCATACCCTTTTGTTTCCTTTCTTTTATATTGAGTCTTATCTTCAGTATTGAGTATAAGCATTAATATTAGGTTTCCTAAATTTGTTAGGTTTAATTAGGTTTTCTAAATTTGTATTTCTTTCCAATTTGTAGCATTGTATCTGATGTTCAGATACAATAAAACGTTGGTTTTTTTGTTTTTTTTTTTTTTAATTGAACCACTTTATGGAAGGGACAATTGAAACTGCCAATCTGTTCCATAGGTCACCTGCAAAGTTTATCTTACGGCTTTCTAGCTGGAGTAGGCCACTCTTACTGAGGGGAAAATGGGGACAGCCACACACAGGACACAGTGCAGTGGTTGTTAGTATACAATCTTGTCATATGGTGGACATACTTTGTGATTTTCTACATACTTAGTCATTTTTGACCGCATGGCTGCTTTTGATAGATTTTTTAATTTATCTTGTATACTCTCAGCCAGGTAAATTTTTGAGCCGTGCATATCATGGAGTTGTCACCAGATGGTAACAATTTTTAATTGCTGCATTCTGGAATTGTTAGACGTTAATTGCTCAAAAAAGTATTGCTTTCCACCCACCCTGTGATAACAGTTTAATGTCGCCTGTATGCCATGCGTGAAGGAAGAATGTGTGTTGATAAAGAATTTATTCTCTAGAAGTATTCATTGTGAGATATTACCTACAGTATGTATAGCTTCTGGTTTTTATTGATCATGAGATTAAATTAATATTCATGGCTGATGTCCTCAGTATTTTTTCCCAAGCTTTCTAGTGTGGGTGTAAATGGTGAAATAAAAATATGATATGTAATAACATATATTAAGTGCTAAAAACTTGCCCCCTTCTAATTTGAGGAAAGCAGCAGATTTTAATTTTGAGATGCTTTTTCTTCATTGTTTTTATATGGACTGGCAATAATACCATTTCACCTAACTTTAAACAGATGTCATATTTATTTTTCCCTTTTTGGAAGATGGAGTGTTAAGGAAAGATATATGTTAGAGAAATAAAAGACACCAAAAAAAAAAAAGGCCTTGTACAATTAAACATGTTTCTTCCCCCAAAATGTAGCTGGCACACGTGACCATCTGCCCAGTGTGGAAATCACTTAATATTTTTTAAATGTCCTGAGCTATGTTTTCTGTCCCCACATTCATTCCCCTATTTGACCTTACAGAAAATGATGGTTGTCCTTTTTTTTTAAGAAGATGTTGGGGGTAGGAGTTTAGTAATTAATTTATTTATTTTTGCCGTGTTGGGTCTTTGTTTCTGTGCGAGGGCTTTCTCTAGTTGCGGCAAGCGAGGGCCACTCTTCATCGTGGTGTGCGGACCTCTCACTGTCGTGGCTTCTCTTGTTGCAGAGCACAGGCTCCAGACGCGCAGGCTCAGTAGTTGTGGCTCACGGGCCCAGTTGCTCTGCGGCATGTGGGATCCTCCCAGACCAGGGCTCGAACCCGTGTCCCCTGCATCGGCAGGCGGACTCTCAACCACTGCGCCACCAGGGAAGCCCTGTCCTCATTTTTACAAATGAGAAGACTACAGCCCAGATTGACTATTATCCCTTTTTCATGCTGCCATTGTGTAAAACAGGATCCCCCTATATACAGCGTGGCTTTTTTTTTTTTTTTAATAGTTAGTGAAAGTTTGACCTTGAGCTGAGAAGCAGAACGTGGGCTGGAGACAAGAATGTGGGAAAGAGTTACCTGCTCCTGAAAATATTCAAGGCATGCTTGAGGCTGGGTTTACTTGAGGTGACGACAGGTGAGCTGCGCTCTGGGGTGCGTGAGTGTTGGGAAGATTGGCAGAAAAGCAAGAGCATGTGACGGAGACTCAGAAAGGGGATGGGGTCCTCTGCTAATGGCGGAGGGCCAAGGGCTTCGGACAGGTGGTCCATAAAGGGTGGTTCCCTGCCCTGCAGCCCCAGCATCGCCTGGGAACTTGTTAAGAATGCAGATTCTCAGATTCCACCCAGACACACAGAGTCAGAAACTCTGGGGCTGGTGCCCAGTAGTCTGTGTTTTAACAAGCTCTTCAGGTGCTTCTGATACACACTAACCTTTGAGAACCTCTGGCTTAGAGCAAATAATCTGTATTGTCCAAAACCATGAGTGAAATTGTGAGTGAGGAAGACCTTTGTGCACACATCCCACACATAGCAGGAATTAGAATAAGATGTCCAGGGTGGCCAAATATAAATGTGGGTGTAGCTCTCCAGTGGTGGGGGATATTTAATGAGCACCTAGTATATGCTTGATCCTATGTTAAGACCTAGAAATACAATGGTGTACAAGACAGGCCTGGTAGTGGCTCTCAGAGAGTTTGTTGGAGTAGACAGTGGCAGTGAGGAAACGATTACACAACTGACAGAGCAATTACAATTATGTTAATGGCCAAGAAGGGAATAAGAAGAGTGTACGTATCCTCTCTGGGCCACTGGGAGGCAGACTCTAAGATGGATTTAGAAGTATAAGAGATTTTTTTTTTTTTTTTTTGAGGGAAAGGGGAGGAGATAACACCTTCAAAAGAGGGAAGATGTAGGATAAAGCAGAAAAGTCTTAGAGAGTGATAAAGTCTTGGCCAAATTAGTGAGAAGCTCCAGAGCACAGCCTTCCCTTTAAGACTCTTGTGTTGGAGGAAGGTGGCCAGGCACCAGTATCTGCTCTGGGCCATCATTGCCTGAGGGCGGCCCAGGAAGAATGTGACCTTAGTTCACACACAGCAGCAGATCTCAAATCCACTGAAGCCAAAGCTGTCAGCTAACTATGCTCCTCACAGCAGAACGTCAGGTTCTTTCTGGAAGGGACACGTGTGCAGCGCGTGCCGTGGGTGCTCCAGACCTTTTCTTGCACCATGTGGTTCCACTTCTCCATCCGTGTTTGGGGCCCCGCTCCTCCGGGGTTCCAGTGTGCCTCTCTTCCTCAAGCAGAACTTAAAAGAGAGAGGGTAGAGGGACAAACTGCAGCCCCTCTGACTGGAGTTGGTCTCAGAGCCACAGCTGGTCTTGGTCACCTCCCCCCTCCACTGACCATTTTAAACTCCCCTTGTTCAGCACTCATGTCTGCTGCTCTCTGAGGTTTACCTGGTGGTGGAATGCAAACCCTCCCTGGTAACTTTATCCTTTCAGGCCAGTATTGCTGCAGTTCTCCATTTTAGTCACAGTTGGGCAAGAGAGTTCGAACAGGGCCCCAAGTAAATCACCCGAGTTCCACATAGACTCCTTCCTGCCCTCCTGTGTGTCAGCAACCCTACCTTCTCTTGTCAAGATGGTGATTCCTCCTCTTGCCTTTTGATCCCTGAGCACAAAGAATCCAAAGTACACAGGCAGCAGCCATAGCTCATAGTGCAATGGGATGCTTGCTGTGTCCTCTAGCCAGAGTGCATGCCCTGGGGACCAGGACCTCTGATCACGCAGAGCCCAGAGTTGTGGGGACAGCAGTCACAGTCTTTCATCAGGTAAGTGGGAGCGATGATGGTAAGAGGAGAAACTCCTTCCCCCCTTGGTTCTCACTCTTCCAATGAGGACACAACACCGTATTGAAAACTCCTTTTCACCGTGTCTATCGCATCCCGAAAGATGGCCACACACCCTTACAGGGTAGTGCCTCCAGGTGTGCCTTCAGCCAGCCATCCTGTCATGCTCTCAGGCCAGCGAGTTCTAGATGGTGCAGCATACAAGACAACTCATGGTCGTGGGCCCATTCCCACTCCTCTGCTGAGAAGTTGGTCCCTTGGTCAGATGCTGTGTTGAGTAGATGCCTATAAATCAGGCATTCTGTAAGTCCCTGGATAGTCTTGGAGGCTGAGGTTCTGCAGGGAAGAAAAGCAAATCCATACTCAGAATGAGTGTCTGTTTTGTGAGAATGAACCATATGTCTCCCAGGGAGGTAGGAACTGAGTTTCGTCAGTTTGGTACCAGGTGCGAATAGCGCCATATCAGGGTCTCAGAGTCAGTCTCTGTTGCTGGCAGGTTCCGCCTTAAGAAAAGGCGGTAGCTGGGTCAGCTTTGGCAGTTGGGAGTCCATGCTATTGGGCCTTGACATAGCCTCCTCCTCCCAGCCGTGGCGACTCTGTTCTTATACCCACAATGCCTCTAACCGGGCAGCTGGTGACAAAGGCTGGTTGCATCAGCTGGCCAGGTCATTTTCTATACACGCCATCCCATGGTGGATGCTTCTGGTGGGCGTGACCACGTAACAGAAAGGTCACACTTCACACTGTATGCTTAATCCCATATGTCCGTCTTCCTGCCCCATACTTCCTTGTCTCTAAACCTGTAGCCTTTTATCCTCTACGGCCCCGACTACCCTGCCAGACCATTCACCGCTGACCACAAGTCTCTGTATGTTCTTACCTTGGGCTGCTTTGCTTTCTTAACAAGGTGTATGACATGCGGCACCACTCATCGTTGCATCCATTCGGAAAATATTCCCTAACCTCTGTCTTTCCAAGCCAGCCCTGAGTGTGGCTATAATGCACGTGTAATGCAGCTGCTGTCCCTTTTCACCTTGCAACAGCGTAGCATGCCATCAGAAACAAGCACAGGTGTTTTCTTTCTCCTTCATCTGGACCTAAGGGCTCCCCTCCCCCATGTGGCGATAGGTGTGGGCTGAGGAAGGAGGGCAGTCCCGTCCTGGGGGGTGACATGGGGGCCTGCGCTACCTGCTCACGCAGCAGACTTGTGCCCTGTAGCCCAGCTCAGCTTGATCGCCGATGTGCCCTTCCCATCTAAAGAAGCGGTGCTATGTATGACTTTATGAGTTGGTGGCTTTGACAGAACTCCATTCTTAATGAGCAGTTCCAGATACTAGTCACTTGGTGTCTCAAGATCAAGTGTTTCTTCTCTCCGATGGCCCAGGATGACACCGGGAGCTGCTTTTCCAAGACGTGTAATTCCCCAGTACAACTTACACGCCTGACTTTAGAACCCTAGGAGCCTATGTCGTGATTTTGTCACCACCATTGCCATGAGTTCCTTACTACGTCTTTTCCTCCATCACTCTAGAGTGCATAGGACCCTAAGGCCAGTACGGATAGCTGGATAGTATGACCCAAGCCATACAGAGTTGGGCGTGTAAGAAGTTTATCGGATGGTAACACCTATGAAAGCTGAAGGGGGAGGAAACAGGACTGGACAGGGAAAGCCTTCAGCACAACTCAGTTCTGATACTCCTGTATGATACTCCTGTAAAGGAGGAAGGAGGCAAAATTAAGCAGGAGTAGAAAGGTGGTATTATTGGGGGGAACGGTGTGGAGGGCTGGGGGACAGGCGCAAGCAATTGGTTGTGGGAAGACTCTTTCCGGTCAGAGATGCTACCACGCGTAAAGAGCATCAACCCTGATGTATAGAGTGATTCCTAGGGACCAAGATGAGACCAGAGTGGCTGACGTTCAAAGAGGAAAGAGGGTGGCATCAGATGAGGCTGGTGAAGGAAGCATATCGTACCAAGAGTCGCAGGCCATGTCACCAAACGTTTCCCGTTCCTTTTAAGATGAAAACTTCAAATGGAAATAACAAATGGTGATTGTAAGGTGTATAATAATAAATGGTAAGTACCTGCTGTAGGAACTGTTAACAAAAATACACAGCGATGTGTTGATGGTATATTAACTCACCTAAGATGACGTGAATTTTAAGAGTCGCGTGTGACTTCAATGCAGCGAGAGATAAATAACTTAATCACAACTGAGTTTTGTATGAAAATTTCCTCTGCTTTTTTGTTGAAGTATATATTTGTTTTGTTTTTTAGAATATCGGGAGATAGGGTATTGAATTCAGTGATTTCATAGGCCCATAGTGTATGGGATGACAATCTAATGGATAAAAATAATAATTGCTCAAAAATAAAATGATTATAGAATGTGTATATAATTATATAACTATATAATATACAATAATAAAATAGATTTATATAATAACCCTAACAAGATGTAATTTAAATGCTGTTTTACTTGAATTTTAAGGATAGGAATTCTACGGTACCTTAATCGAAACTGAAATTATGTATTTTATTCTAAAATTCAGTGGATCTGAAGGTTTGCCACTGGGCCAATTGCAACGGGTCAGTTGATTTTCACTGGGATTCTAACAGCTTGACATTGCTGAGGGAGCCAAAAGAAATGGCAAATGCAGTTAAAGACTGTCTCAGTGTTCTAATTTTCCTGAACATAAACTTCATTTGAAATAAGGAACGGAAGAAAAAATCTCTTCTTTTTCATTGTAGCTGTCTCCCTTTTCCACCCTCTTTCAGGATCTCGCTTACCATTTTACAGTGTTCGTCTTCTACTTTGGAGCCTTCTTGCTGGAAGCAGCTGCCACATCGCTGCACGATCTACGTTGCAATCGAACCGTGGCTGTGCAGCCGCTCTTGAACGATAACCAGTATAACATCAACGTGGCAGCCACAGTAAGTGTTTGATGAATACAGTTTACCAGCGCTTCCCCTCCCCTGTCAAGGTCTCCAAGAAAGTCCTTCGGCAACAATAGTTTTCTTTAGTAATAACCGTCAGCATTAGACATATAATAGCTGTTTATCTGTACAGTAGCCTTATGAGCCAAGTTGTTACCCCAGTGCTGTGGATGAAGAAACTGAAGCACGAGGAGGCTGACATTCATGTAAGATCATACCTGTCAGCGGTAGTAGTTGACCTTGCGCCACAAAGTCTACTTTGTGAAAAGAACTAATTGTGCTTTCTACCTGGTGTAACTTCAGACATGGTTGGGGAGATTTGTCCTTCCCTTTCTCTCTCTAAGTGAAGCTGCCCTAGTAAACCTCTACATGCTTCAAGTTCTACATTAATCCCCATTTCATCCATACACTCCAGTAGACGTAAATCTTTAGTTTCTGAGTTTTAATGACAGAAGCTAAATGCATGAGCCGTTCATTTGTGGCATTCCACTGAGTCCCTCACTTTTCTTTTTATTTCAATATACCTTAGAGAGAGGAAAACTCCTTTTCCCTAGCAAGAGGTATCAAAAGTGGTCATTCATGCAGGGGCCAGGTAGCCCAGTGTGGGTGAGTGAAATCAGCTGAGCCTGACTCACAACAGGGGAACAACCTCGCTGATCAGATCATCGGATGAACAAAAGCATAAGCGAATTCCTAGTCAAAACAGAAACTCTCTCCTTTCAGGTGTATACTCAACATATAATTAAAAATGCACCAGGCTTTCTTTTTCTTTTTTTGATGGGAGTCATTAGAGGTAGAATTTATCAGAATTCCTGTGCTTATAAGGCACAAACAAGAGCAGTACTATAAACAGAACCGGGGGGAGCCACGTGTATGCAGCCCCCCAGGATTCTGATATCAATGAGGATAACATAAATTCATAACCTGCCACTGCAAAGAGGACATGGAGGACAATTGTAACTACATGTGAGCAACTCAGAGTGTAGTTAAGATTTACACTTTGAGATTTATCATTTAAGAGTATCATTGCTGGGCTTCCCTGGTGGTGCAGTGGTTGAGAATCTGCCTGCTAATGCAGGGGACACGGGTTCGAGCCCTGGTCTGGGAAGATCCCACATGCCGCGGAGCAAGTAGGCCCGTGAGCCACAACTACTGAGCCTGCGCGTCTGGAGCCTGTGCTCCGCAACAAGAGAGGCCACGATAGTGAGAGGCCCGTGTGCCGCGATGAAGTGTGGCCCCCACTTGCCACAACTAGAGAAAGCCCTCGCGCAGAAACGAAGACCCAACACAGCCAAAAATAAATAAATTAAAAAAAAAAAAAAGTAACAAATGTTCAAGTACAATTGGTGTCTTTAAAAAAAACAAAAAGAGTATCTTTGCTCAAGAAATTTTGAAATGTCCTGAAATTTTATAAATCGTGTATGAAATGTGATAGAGCAGTTCCCAAATTTGACAAACGTACACTGTTTGCATGTCATTACAAATACGGTATAAAACTGAAATAAACTTTTCTAAGTTATTGAAATAAAACAAATTTTGATCAACCATGCAAGAGGAAATACTAGATTTTCTCCAAGATTACAAAATCTCTCTAATGCCATTGTCTTATGAAGAGCACACTGTCTTGTGAAAAGGATATCAAAGAAAGTGGGTTTCCAAAAATAAGATGTATCAGGCAGGTAATAAAACAAGAATATTGTTGTTTTAGATTTGGGAATATTTGTGACATTTGTCAGCTTTTCAGAATCCATGGTTGTTGTGATTTCTTGTTCTAATTAAACATTCACATTTGTACTTTAAAATAAAGTGGTCATTCTCATTCAACAGAAAATGCCTAGATCAGAGATGTATCAGAGAGACAACCAGCAGAAGAAGGGTGGGGATAATAGCAGAATGGTAATTATGCTGTAAAAATGTTCTGTAGGTGGGTCTGATATTCCTTCTCAGAGCTCTGGTTTCCTTGTAAAGGATTCCTGTACTACATATAATGTTTTAACATATTTAACTGCTTTGGTAGTTTTCTATGAATCATAAACCCCAAAAGGGTGAGGACAATACCTATTATCTGTTTATATGTACCAAATGTACTGATGGATACATAGTTGGTGCTAAAGAAATCCTTGTTGAATGCAAAGAACAGTGATTCAGAGCTAAGTACAGACTTGAGGACTATCTCCCACGCCAAACTGATGATTCATTTCTGTGGGTTTTCTCTCTTCAGCTCTAAGGTCACTTTCCATTGTCACAGAAATGATTTGCTACATCCTCAAGTCCTGATAGCTGCCCTTTGCTTGGCTGTGAGATCACTGTGCAAATAGACATCTCCTCGTGAATATGTACCATGTTAGGGGTCTCACCACTGCTTACCAAGTGAGTCCAGTACGTGAAAAAAGGCTCACCCTAAGGCTGTCCACAAATGAGAAAATTATCAGGGGCCAGGACTTTGGAAAGAAAGGTTAATGGTGTGAGGGGATAAACTCATCAAGAAAAGAGAGGAATATAAACGATTCTCATTAGCGTTGAAGTATCTTTAAGTAGGCTGGTCAGTCTTCAGACAGTTGCTCCTTTGGACGAATGTTTTCTTAAAGTCAGGGTTATGAATCTGATGTGAATTGTTGTTTCTTTTTTCTTAGATTTTTGCCTTTGTGACGACAGCTTGTTACGGTTGCAGTTTGGGTCTGGCCTTACGACGATGGCGACCGTAACACCCCTTACAAACTCGCTGCCTGTGTGTTAGTTTCATTTGTGTACTTTTTATGTCTCATCAATTTGGATACCATTTTGTCCAGATATAACAACATCCCCAAAGTAATTTGTTTAGTATATGGAGAGAATCTTAAGTATAAGTTTTGGTTCATTTCATGGATGGAATTTTAATTTCAGTATGATGTTAAACAGAGAAATAGCCTTTAGTTTTACATCTGTCTCTTTCTTTTTCTTATTTTAAAGAAAATTTCCCTTTACATCCATAAAATACACAGATATTGTTCATGAAAAAAAGGGGTATCTCTTGTGTTTAGTTACTGAGTCACCTGAACCTTAATTTTAATAGGTAACTAAAACTCCTGAAGAAAAACACATTTCAAATAAACTTCCCACTGAACTCTGTGTGTTAGTGTAAAACAGAGATCGACACTCTTTAAAGGTCCAGATGGTAAATATTTTAGGCTTTGTGGGCCATTCAGTCTCTGTCACAGCTACTCACCTCTGCTGTTACTACGTGAAAGCAGCCGTAGACAGTAAGTAAATGAGTGAGTGTAGCTGTGTTCCAATAAATTTTTATTTACAAAAACCGGCAGCAGGCTGGATTTGGCCTGTGGACTGCAGGCTATCGTTTGCGGACCTCTGGTGTAAAACCTTGGTTATGGGTTCTGTATTTTATGGAACTGATCCTGAAAGGTATAAAGCGAATTAGAGAAGTCACATAGTATTTAGTCTCATGCAGTAATTACATTGCCTTTAGGTTAATGGTCAAATACTTACCCTTGAAGGGGCTATAGTTTCTCAAGCTAATTCAAGCAGAGTCTTGGGTACAGGAAAAAGTAATTTATGAGGTGAACCCTAGTTGCTTAATCCATCTAAGTGTTTCCTAACAACTGAGCAAAATGCTCATCTGGTGTCCTTAAAATGAGAGCCCCAGAGACCACTAACCACTCCTGGAACTGGTATCTAGCTCCTGATGTCTTACTGTGGGTTTATTTATGCTTCAAATGCAGCTGTTTACCCTGTGCATGAATATACAGATATTAATGTGTGGATATGTGAGGCTTTATCCAGTAGAGCTCTCCAAAGGGTGAACTTTTTACTTCTAATTCTTTTACATGACTCTGAGTTAAATTTGAATAGAGTACGAAATATAACTTAAAGTTGTAGATCCTCACGTGTTTAGAGAACAGTCCTGACATCTATTGAATATGAGTAGCACAGAAAAGTATTTGAACCCTCCTCAGAGACCCTGGTCGTGGTAACATGCCAAAAATGGCTTGAAGGGGAGAACAAGTTAGAGTTAGGCCCCCAGCTCACACCACCCGTCCAGACAAGATACTTATCTCTTGCCTCAAGAGGGCTACCTCTGGGAAAAGAGGGCTTTTGAATATTTTATACTTTCAACCCTTTGCTTTTTGGCTAAATCATCCACTACAAGTGCCATGTATAAGCTGGGCTGTTAGATTTCATGGAACATAGGACAATCCTGAATGAGTAGCGTAATCAATGCTCAATGATCAAATCCTGTTTATGTGATAATCCCTTAGAAAGAAGAATCTGATTAGGGTTTGGTTTGTGATGTAACTACAGAGATAAAAGGTATATTTACTATGCGGCAAGAGGATATCAGTCTTGTGACTTTATACTGATGTCATAGCTTTTCTATAATATCCAACTGCCCTGGTTTTTCTAGCTCCATGCCACACTCTTAACCCTTGAATTATGAATTGTATATTACAGAGTCATATATGTGCCATAAGGATATATTGTCCATTCCGGCTAGAATTGTTAAAAGTTAGTCTGCTAGATTTAGTTGTGAGATTGTATTTTTGTTTCCAAGGTATAACAGGTCCATGCTTGGTGGCATTAAATTAAATGATTTCATGAAACTGCTTTGGTGACACTTTTGTAAATGGATTGCTTCTAGAACATTAAGAACCAAGCCTAAAACTCATCTAACTGTGAATACTTAGAATTGTAAATTAATCACGATCTAGATTTGTGAGTTGACTGACAAAGCACTTGAACAAAAATTATGGCATTTGAGAATTTCTTTATATATCTTAGCTGTAAAAATGAGGAAGCGTTGGTTGGTTTTAAAATCTGGTTAACTCCATGATGAAAAGAAATTTATTTTATAAGTGTTATGACTCTAATAAAGTATTCATTTGATAATCTTTTGGGGTCATCTATTTTTTATACAATTTACTTTGAAATTCAGTTAAAGGTTTGATATAAACTTGACAGATTTGGAGCTTCTAGACTCATAATATATAAGAGTTCGGCTTTAAACATTTCTATGTAAAAGACAGTCTCTCAGGAAATGCCAGTAAATCTTTTTTCTTTGGTGAAGGTTCAGGAGGTGAGTCTTTGGAGGTGATATTATAAAGGAAGTTTAAATTTACTCTGTTTTATTTATAAAGCATTTATATAGGTATAATATATGCCAGGCAGCGTTCTAAGCATTTTTTCAAATATTAACTCATTTAATCGTCATCGTGACAACTCTATGGAATAGATATTATTGTTGCATTTTAAAGACGAGGGAACCAAAACAGAGACCTTAAGAACACCCAGGGTCATGTACCTAGCAAGTAGGAAAGCTGGGATTTAGACCTCAGCGTCTGGCTGCAAAGTCCAGGCTCTTCATGGTTGTGTATCACTCAGTTCTCCCGGATTTTACATATTTTATATATGCAAAAATATGACCCTTTTCTCCCAAAGAAGTTTTTAGAAGAATGTTGAATACACGAAACTGTTTATGACAGATGTCATCTTTTAGAACTTCTTTTTTGTCATAACCAAGGGCTCATGAGTTTAGCTGTAAGAACTTAGGCGAAACCTGCGTGATAGGGAAAAAGTTAGGCCGCTTTGGTCTGCAAAGTTCTCCAGAGCGCTTAGCTGCCTGAATTATTTCTCTGGTCCATTAATTCTGGTTATGGACTATGTGGCTTCAGTCTGCTCCATTGCCTTGCATCAAGTCAGTCCTTTCCTGAATGGGCTTGGCTTTCTGATCACCCCCCGGAACTGACATCAGAAGGGTTCTCTAGTCTGAGATATACCATTAGACCTTTACACATAGAGTATGAATTTACACCTCTTCATATGTCAGAATCTGGAATTCTGGGTCATAATCACAAAGGTTCTATCCTCAACATCATGTTTCAAGTTTGTGACTAAGTGAACCAGTGTCTTAGGTGGCAACTTAATGTATTCATGGGGGAGGGGTCCAGGGTTTTGGAGAGGTGATCATCTTTAGAACATACGTGTGTGTGTGTGTGCACATGTGTGTGTGTGTGTGTGTGTGTGTGTGTATTTTAATGTTTTGAAAGCTCAGCTTTTTAGAGTGAGCATGTATTAAGCTGTGCCCCGGGCAATAGGTCAATACAAGTTCCTCTCTCCAGAGCCCTGTTTTCTCGAGTTTTTCATGGCTTGCTTCCCCACCCTGTTTGGGTCTCAAGTCAGTTGTCACCGTTGCAGGGAGGCCCTCCCTGAGAACTGAGTTTAAACTTGAATCTCACACCAGCACTCCCTGTTCTTATTTTCTGCACTCTCTCCATGGCACTTATATATTTTCAATATAGCATATATAGCATATATATTTTGTTTATTTTGTTTGTCCTCTTCTCCACTGGAGTGTAAGACTTATAGAAAGGAATTATTTGTTTCGTTTACAGCTTTATCCTCAGTGCCTCGAACAGAGCATGGCAAATAGCAGGTACTCAGTAATCATATATTGAATCAGAGAATGAATGAATATTAATGACAATACCTTACTCTTGTGTTCCAATCAATATATTCTATAAAAATTGATCTTATCAGCACTTGAAAAGTTCTGGTATAAAATGGCTAGGTGTTTTTCACCTAGCTCTGAATCTATTTCAAGTGAATCTTAACCTCATAGGTTGTCTACTGATTAAATATATGTATCAATATATTACAAAAATGTTATATAATCAGTCTTCTATAGCAGAGAAAATAATAACGTATAAAAATTAAACATTCCATGTAAACTCATTAGGTCTTTATTCAAACATTTTCCAAGATGTCACTGTGCACTCAACTGACTTAGATAGTCCTGAAAGCATCATCAGAACGAAGGACTAATTATCAAAGACTGTCATTTTCCTATAATTATGGTGGGGGTGGAGGGCTGTGGCTAGTAGTTTGGGCCAGAAATTATGATAGTTACTGTTGTAAACCTAACAAGAGGTGGAGGTATCTGTATAATGTAGCATTTTGATTTTTCATGTCTCCCAACCCCAAGCTTTATCCTTGGATCTGTATGTATGGGAGATATTCTAGATGAAGGCCATTGTTGAATTCCCTGTATATAGTTTAATGTGCCATTCTAAATAGCCCTGATGTCCTGAGTCAAGGTACAGTTTAGCTGAAGCAATGACATTCTGATGCATCCGTATACTGGGCCGCATTGCTTTTTCATGAAATTATGCACGTTATTGATCGTTAAATATGCCATCTTGCTGAATACATTAAAACTTCTGTGTGGAAATGTTTTGAAGTGTGAGTAAATTCATTTATTTATATACATAAGCATATAAAGTATTTAACAGTGGATGAATAAAGATTTGTTACTTTTAGGCAATTTATTTTAACAGTTGTCTCAGTTTTTGAACATAATACCCTATTTATGTGTATGAAATGTATGAACTAGTGTCAACCTATATTAAATATTAGTAAAGCATTTTAATTTTAAAACAGAGTCAAAATATTTTCTTCCCTCATTCTGTGTAAGATGTTATCTTCAATATTTCTTAAGGTGCATACGCTCATTTTAGAGGCCACAGAAATGGATCATTGATTTGGAGGTCAGGAAAGTGGATTTATCTCCTTTCCTAGTTTGACAGACGTGTTAAATAAATGTCTTATTTAGACACTTATTTAGATAAGAGAGAGAAGGAAGGTGTGTATTTTAGGGTCTGGCAGTCATAGGCATTGACTTTTATCAATATCTTCGCTTTGGTTTCCTGGTGAGATAATAGCTACTCCATTTCTTCTGAGTGGAAAAGTTGTCTAAATATATTTTATGTCTAAAAGTAAAGTTTTATGGGGCAAATAAATTCTCAGCACATGGATATGCTACGTTCTCTCCCAATGCTAGTTGAGTATGAGTTGCCGCAGACAGTTTTTTTTATAGTTATGCTTTCAGTGTTCATTAGGAAAGTATAATTGGCACATCAAAGGCATAGTTTCATGGATATTATTCAGCATGAAACTAAATAAACAAATAGGAAAAAATATTCCATTAAGAGCTGTATGGTTTGAGGTGAGTCCATTTATCTAAGCCTACATTCTCATCGATCAATGGGGAGCATATTTACAGACCTGTGGCGGTAGGTCCTTTGGGAAGAAGAACCCAGGACAGAGTCAAAAGTACAAGCAATTTTTTGGAAGTAATGCCTATGAAATATAAAGAGGAAAGGGAAAAGGAAGTAATAGTAGGCAGGAGGAGTTCCAGACGGGGTTCCAGCTCTGAGAAAGTCTCAACCAAACGCACTACGGAGCTCCAGCACCAAGGTTGCCCATAGAGGAATCCCACACTAGCTAGAAGAGATGAGCCCTTGTACCTACTCCAGGCATGGGCTGTGGATTGCCCAGAAAGAGTAGGACCTCAGATCGCTGCCTTAAAAGCTAAAGGAAGATTGAAGGCACCTGCAGCTGGAGGCTGTCAGATACCTGCACTCCCTGTGGATGGCTCTTTGTTGGAATTCTGAACAGCACCCTTGGTGACTGCCACTTTCCACTCCTTGTGCCAAATAAATCCACCTCTCCATGCATGTCACAGGAGCCACTTCTCCAGGGTTCCTGTGGGCCTCTTGTCCTAAGGGAAGAATTAGAGCAAGGAAGTCAGACAAACTACTAACCCCAGCACTGCAGGTGGTCTTGGGACCATAACCGATGCTCGTAATCTCTCTGTGATTATCCACCTTGAATTCCCCCAGCAGCTATCACCTTCATCTCCAGGTCTTGGTCATCTCTCCAGTATTGGGACCCAAATCCTCATCCCTGAGGGGTCTGCACCATCCCCTGGGGTTAAGGGATTATTTCTTATCCAGTCTTATGTTCTTTTCTTGATCAAGCATCCTTCAAATCCAGTGCCATTGGTACACTGGCTCCTGCTAACACATGCTAGTTAAGTTTGCAACTGCTTTGGGGTAAAATCTCTTTATTCTTTATCAGACCCAACATGAATTCAGCTGGGCTACCCTGAGGGAGATGTCCAGGAGAAAGGTGGGGACACGTCCTCGGCCAGAGGTCTCTGCAGGGGAAAGTACTAACTCTAAATAAGGAGGGAGGAGTCACCTCTGCAGCTCCAAGTATTTCAGGGAATTCCAGAGGACCACAGACTTTGACAGTATCTGTTCAAACATGCCCATCCCATGTTTCAGTGTCCCAGGCTTTCCTCACCAGGATGCTGACCTTAGTGTTATAGATTTGCCCTAGTGGAGCCTCCTTTGAAGTTCAGTAAACCTGTCAGATCTTGAGTGTGTGCTTTTAGCTGCGTTTTTCTCCCATTGTTTCATTCCATGTGTTATTTCCTCTGTGTTTTCAAAGGCCTGAATTATCATATCGCCCAGAGTATTCCTCTCCATTGGGACATTCTCCTATGTTAGGGAGATTGTATTTACCCAATAAGATATTTGTGATTTTTATTTTATCAGCACCACTGACTATTCTTACAGAATTGAATATAAATGTATAATTGTGCTTGCTACTAATCCAAAAAAGCACTATTTCACTCTAGGGTATCATTGCTAAATTTGCTAAGATTCCAATAACTAAACATAACATGTTTTTAGTCCAGAGATTTGAGTAGATTTGGTTTCCAAGCATAGAAAAGAAATCCAGATGAATCGCTAAAACAAAGTTGAGGAAAGATGTAAGGGCTTCCCCAAATTAGCATAAATCTCTTTCAGACAATTCTATGTCACCTGAAACCATTCACTTTTAAATCTACTTATGGTATTTGTTCATTTTGTTTTGATAGTGAACACTCTCATCTTGATAAATTATAAAAGGTCTCCTCCTGCCTCTTTCTTCTCTCTTTTCTTTCTCCTCTTCCACTTTTGAATCTATTGGTTATTTCAGGTAAGTCTGACAAGGGTATTTAAATTGTTTAAATATTTTATGGTGGCTAATTCAGGGGAATGCAAAT